CTGTATGTTAGGTCACGATTATTGGGTATCTAATCTCTAGTGGTTTTTTTACAATATATATATATATATATATATWTATATTATATTATATTATCCCACTATTATCACTATCTACTATATATATATATATTTTTTTCATTACAAATATTAGCTTTTAATAGTAAATTAAATTACACTATTACTGGTGATCACGTTTTTTTTGCTAAATCAACAACAAAAAAATTAAATTATTTTTATTTTCTATACAATTTTGATATTTCTATTATTATTATTATTAGCATTTAATTTTTAATTATTATTTTTTTTAAAATAAATTTATTTTAAATAAGGTCTTCAAATAACTGTTAAATCATTGTTGGATGAARACATGGATAATGGTATCAAATTTGCTTATAGATATCGTAATCATATAAAYAGACAGCCAATGATTGTCGTATTTACAGYAAATAATAATAATAATAATAAACAAAAATTATTATATAATAATTATAATAATATTGATGAAACAAATAGTAAGTTATAAATTATATAATTATTGTTTTTACAGTTTATTTACATATATATATATATATATATATATATATATATATATATATATATATATATATATATATATATATATATAATATTAAAAATAATATAATAATATATATWTTTTGARAATATAAATAGATTTTATTTTTTTAATATTCTTTAAAAAWTTATTTATATATTTTCAAAATTCTATATTATATTATTATTTTTATATTAAATTTATATTATATATATATACCGGTATATATAAAATTTTATTTATATATATATATATATTATATATTTATAAAAATTTTATATATATATTTATATATTTATATATTTAAATATCATTTTATTTAAATTATTAAGCAATTATATTGAATGTGGAAAAAATGTTTGCAAATACTATTGTATATACTTTATGTTTGAAATACAATTGTATGCATAAACTTATATATTTAAATATTTTTCACTATTGATATACAGGATAGATATATATATATATACCTTATATATGTATTGTAATATTTTATATTAAATGTAYAAAAATATGTATTTTTTAAACCAAATATATATATAGATATTATATTTTAGTTATTTGAGGCAAAATATTTCCTAAATGTTAGTCTATTGTGTACTATTTGCCATTATATATATGGTTATACACAATATTATTATATAATGGTATACCAAAATGTATTATATATTATAATAACATTTTATGTTTGCTTAATGTTATTAATAATAGTAATAATATATATATATATATATCTATAYMTATAYATATATAAAGTTTTGTTGTAACAAATATATTGATTCAATGAAAAATATATATATATATATAATATATACATTTTATTTTTGTTGCAATATATTTGCAAATGTTTTTACTCTCTCTCTCTCTCTCTCTCTCTCTCTCTCTCTCTCTCTCTCTCTCTCTCTCTCTCTCTCTCTTTCATTTTCATTTAACAAATGTTTGAATTTGTTTTTCTTTCTCCTAATTTAAATAACAAATATATATATATATTTCAACATTTATGTCATATGTATCTATCTATTCATAAATAGTATATATATATATATATATATTATTGTGTGTTAGAAATTACCACACAWTTTATAAGTTATATATATATATATATATAACATATCTATATATATATATATTGTAWATTAAAATAGTTTGAAMAAATTTGCAMTAATATATAGTATAATACAAAAACAAAAACAAAAAAGTTTCTCATTATTGTATATATAATATAGAAAATTGTTTTTCTTCACCAAAAAAAAAATTTGAAAAAAATATTAGGCAAACAACACGACTACGGATTCAGTCAATTGGATGACAAAAATATTAGACGAAGAAAAAGAAGTAGTAGTAGTAGTAGTGATGACATGAATTCAGATGAAAGTAAATTAAATGAAGACAACAATGAAGAAGAAGAAGACGAAGATATAGTAGAAGAAGATGTAGAAGAGTTTGAGATGTCATCGTCTAATGAAATCAATAAATCATTGGCTCAGTCGTCGTYGTCGTCRTCACCACAGAGTAGGCCAGTGCTGACTATTGATAATAAGTCGACAACTAATGATGACAACAATCCTACGCCAAAAGTCTGTTTTCGTAGACAAATATATATCGATTTCGAAAGYATCGGTTGGTCTGCAATGATATTACCCAAAGGACTGACAACCTATCTGTGCGATGGTATATGTCTGACAACAMCAACWACTAAACAAACGGACAGTAGGTTTGCTGCYAMTAATAGATTGATGTCATCTAYAAGTCTTCATCATCATCATCATCATCGAYGGTATCGTCGATCAATCAGCGAAAATGTTTGCTGTATTGCCAATGATTTAAATACATTGACTGTCATGTATTTTGATGATCGGGGAAACGTTATACTCAAACGGGTCGATAATATGCTGGCCAATGGTTGCGGATGTCATCMWTAAGTCGCGGATRATATTAATTGCGTGT